AAACTACAGTTATTAGCATCTACAGTATCATTTTAATAAGGCTAAGATGCATGGCTTTCTTTTAAATAAATTACAGTGGATTACACAGCAAATTCCATCTGAACATTAACATGAACCCCCCAACTTTTTTTTACATTGAAGGTGCTTGACCAGGCTGCCCAGAGAAGTTGTGGAGTCTCCATCCTTTGTCCTGGGCAATGAGCTCTGGCTGACCCTGCTTGAGCAAGCGGGGCTGGACTGGATGGTCTCCAGAGGTGCCTTCCAACCTCAATGACTCCCCAGCTTTGCACATAATAACTCTTAGCATACACACTACCACAACACAAACACACTACCATAACACAAACTGGAATGTCCAAAGTTGCTGGGCATTTTCACCAGAACAACAGCAAAAAACCCCCATGCTCAAGTTTGGCTCTTTGCCCCCAGCTTATGTTTGGCTCTGCACCACAACCTGAGCTAGAAACAAACCTGTCACAGATGAAAGGGAATTCTGCAGCACACATACCTATTTAGTCCCACATCCACCCCAAGCTCTCCTGGCATCACTCCACAAGCAATGCTCTGTCTGGCAGCAAGTTTTCATTGCTTCAGTTTATTCATTCAAAAAATGAAATAACCATATCAGCTCAAACCAAAAAATCAGCTGATTTATACCTAAACTGAAGTATTCCACACCCCCCGGCAGCAAAGCAAAGCCATGGAAGCATCTGCGCAGACACATTCCCAACATCTAAGACCTTTACTCTTCTGGTCTGTTTAACTTTTAGCTGAGGAACATGGAAACAAGGTTTACATTAGGATCAGAAAAATCCACCTAGTTAGCTATGAAACCTGGCTGGATTCTGTAAAGAAGACAGTCTGCTCATATAAATGTGCCATTAAGATACCATCCTGAAACATCTACATAATACAAAGAATGGGGTTCTAATTACCTGCTTGAAACACAATGCAGTGGCTTCCAAGTCTCCTTCAGTTCCTGAGTGCTCAGGAGCTTTAGGAGAACCAGGGCCGTGTTTCTTGCGCTTCCGAGAGTCCCGTCGTGGCGGAGTTTCAGATGAGGAGTGTGATGACCTGTGTTTACTTGTGTACCTTTTTTTCTCAGCAAAGTCCTTATATTCTTCCTCTTCCTCTTCTTCCCAGAAGCTAGATAATGCACTTGGCTCCTTACTGGCATGTCTATCACCATGCCCAGTCCCTACAGAGCTGTCAGGTGGCTTTTTGGGAATTCTGACATCTTCACTCTGCTTTTTTGAGCTCTCTGCCTTTTTATGTGGTACCTCGTACACAGAGGACTTAAACTTTTCTACCATAGCTTGCTCTGCTTTTAGCTTGAGTTTACAGAGTTCAGCTTTCTCTCTCTTTTTCTTCAGTGCCTTGTCCCTCTGAAGTTCAAAGCTGTGCCAGAGCCTTTTTCCTTCTCTTCCATCTAACTGACTTCTTTCCTTGCTGGCAGTCACCATATCAGGAGTGCGGGTGGTTTTGCCATGTTTGATTTCTTTGGCTTTAAACTGGATCACTATTTTCTTCTGCCTTTCAGTATGAATTGAAGAACCGTCGGGGGTTTTGCTTCTCTTTGGAGATTTCTCCTGGGATCTTCCTTCTGTATCGTGAAAAGCACGAGAACTTCGGTGTCGCTTCTTCTCATGCCCATCTTTCTCTGGTTTAGACCTACAGAAACATGATCAAGAAAGTAATTTAATTTAGCTCACTTAATGGAAAACAGCAACAAAAAAGGCACCTGCATTTGACGGAGACAAAGCTAAGTATTTATGAGCACATATTCCTAAACATGAACTTGAAGCAACAGTTGTCCTTCAAAATAGTTTGATACAGCAATTTTTGGATTTACCTTTCTCCATTGTACAGCCATTTTAGCTTTAAGAAAATGGAGAAAAAAGCTTTTTCTGTTGGTTTGAGAGACACCCTACACTGCTGAGTTTCTTCTTATCACTCAGATAAGTTTTAACAGCAGTTCAGAGATAAAGGAGGTGTGTTACCTAAAAGGTCAGCTTGGTCACACGCTGCCAAAACACACACAGCTTTCAAACTGTTTCTCCTGCACTGACTGGGGAACTTGGAAAGGGAACAATGGAGGGGAATATAACACCATTCTACAGAAATAATGAATTATATGAAAAATTATTAGGAAACTTTCTTATAAGAGCAGAGAAAATACTCCGTAATCATATTTACTGTACACTAGGTTTAAAATATTCAAAGAAAGACTGGTTAAAACACCCTATTTTATTTGGTGAACAGGTTGAAAAAAAGTCTTCAGCATTAAACGGTCTGTGATTGTTATATTTTTAAGTAGTTCTATTTAATGACAGATTGAGAATTTACCTCTGAAGTTCTGTTTCTCCTTTTGCAGTGTGCTTGTCAGATCTTGTGTCTTCAGAGTTCTGAAAAAAAAAATTCAGGGTCTTGCAAAGGAAACTGCAGTTGAAAAAAAACAACTTCATAAGACAATGTCAAAACTGGGTGGTTTGGCTGCTTAGAGAAACACTAAGGTCAAAGGGTGCCAAGGATGTGCATGCAAAGATAAGGGTGCAAAGGGTTTAGCAGCACTTCATGATTTAATCATGGAGCACTTTAATGCTTACAAAGTGATTCAACAGGGTCCACTACAGCAGTGACAACCACAGACCTGAGACAGCAACATCCCTACCATGATCAATTCACAGGCACTCACTCAGGTAAAACCATGCATGCACTGTAGTTTTTATACACCTCTGGGTTATACAATTCAGTTTTCCCCAAACCACAGCAGGCTGTAGGAAATTACAACAGAGAACGGTAACACATGGATTATTTTGGATAAGGAAGCTCCAGACAGTTCATCCTTTCACAAATAATTCACTCCTTCAATAACTGGGGCCTGCTGACTCAGTGAGGCCATTAGGTCACTGCTGCAGTGATTTTTCCTGCCTAGAGAGGCCTTAGCTGGTTTACTCCCACACTAGAGAGCACTTAATGCAAAAATCAAAGGCTTGCAGAAACCAGGGGAGTCCTAAATTAAGGCAGTTCTGAGAACTTCTGCCTGTGGCTGGTTCTGGAGCTGCAGAATCCATAGCAGCAATGCAAAGAACAAACAGAATGACAGACAATTCCAAAGGCTCCCCCCGGGGTCACATGCACCCCCCTGCTGTCCACAGCAGCTGGAAAGCACTGAAGGAGCTCCCTTGGGGCAGGTGGAGCTCATGATGTTGCTGGGACAACTTCTGATAATAACAAACCCATTTCCAGCTGATCATTTCTCTCTTTAAAGCCTATTCCCTGACAACCGTGAGTTTTCATGACACTTTTAATATTTCTTTCCAACCTACCTCCTCCTTTTCTCAAACGTTTTCATTTAATTTAATCATCATAAGCAAATTTTCTTACTGTTCCTCTCCTCCCAGCACTATCAGTTTGAGGTATGAGACACCTCCCACCCGTGCTGGGATCACACTGCAGGACACTTGCTCCTGTTAGAGATTTCCTTATCTTTTTGCTGTTAAAGCTGTATTCTTCAAACTGGTGAGGCATTAGCAATGGCAATAAGCTACAGTAGGAGGTTTTAAGCCAAGTGTTTTTTTTACTTCCGTAATACCCTTTGTATTACAGAAGTAAAAAAACCCAAAACAATAAAGCATCTTAGGATAAGTTAATTTTTAAAGACAAATTGAATAATAGTAAGGAAATCAGGGCAAGAAATAATAGTTACAAACATTTGACTTTGAACAACATTTTCTCTATGATCAGAAAGTTTCTAACATGAATGAATCAGTTTATAAGGCCATAATCATGCTTTTTTATTAACAGTTGCAAAAAATTGTTGAGAAGACAGGTAAAAGCTCTCTTACTTTGTACATATTCCTTGCAGAATCCAACAGGAAAAAAATCTAGCAAATTTAAATGTGGATTTAATAAACTACTGATTTATCAAGTACGTATTGCACTTCTGAGAGTAAATAACCTGTCAGAAGTGGACACAAACAAAAAAAAACAATAGGAAGCTACACACAAGTATGACCAAAAGGTGACAGCTCCTGTAGCACCTGTATTTTACAAGTGATTCAGTGAAAGTTGACTCACTAGATACAAGTATGTACTATATAAGAATATGCTGAGAATTTTGGTCATTAATTATGTCTCAGTGGCTAGAAGGAAATTTTTCAGAGTCACTCACCAAAATGCTGAGAAGTACAACTTGTGGTTAATCAGAAAATTAGGATATATGATCCAAGACCCAGAACAGTCCAAGAAAACAGCACTGGTTTCAGTATCAATACTAAACCAAACTTTCTTCAAACAGAAAGATACACTAAAATGAAAAAGTTTCTTATTTTCTGATACCCATACTACTCAGCCTCTGAAGAAAAACACATTTATCTGACCAACTCCACCCTCCTGCTGTTCTTTATGACCCTGCTTTAAATTGGATTCATCCTTCTACCACAGGGCTACTAAACAATTAATGTTCTCTTGAATGTAGGAGGTTGAATTAACATATAAAAGTAGTAATATTTCTGCCCATACTTTGTCATCCTGGCCATCCAAAGATACTTCCTTTGCAGACAGTTTCTTCAGCTTCTTTTTAGACATCTTCAAATACTATGAAAAAAAAAACAAACCAAAAACATGTTGTCTTTATTGCCTGTTTTAAGTTTTTAGATCCAGATGAGATAAAAATAAGTTCTAACTGCACAGAGAAAAATACTTTATAATAGTCCTCTTTTGTTTTCTCATTAGAGAGCCACAGCAGATCTCAATATGGTTAGTTAATTATTTACATCTGAGGGGACACCAGAGAAAGGACAGCAATGACACCTCCCCAGAGACACCTATTTTGTACCAGCAGACAAACAGAAACTACCATCCTTCAACACTGAGTATAACCAAGTTTTAAGACAGTCGGACATTGGCAGGGGCTTAACCCCGCAGCGGCCCCGGCCCCGGCCCCGGCCCCGGCCCCGGCGCGGCTCCTCCTCCGCCGCGGTGCGCGCCGGGCCGGCCCGGGCGCGGCTGGGAAGTGTAGGCGGAGCGGGCCGCCCTCGGCGTGTGGGCTCCGCGGCGGCTCCGTGCCGGGAATATGGCAGCTCTAGAGGCGGCGGAGGCAGCGCTAGAGGCGGCGAAGGCCGCGAGGGGCTGCCCAGGGAGGTGTTGGAGTCCCCATCCCTGGAGGTGTCCCAGGAAGGCCTGGATGTGGCACTCAGTGCTCTGGGCTGGGGACACGGTGGGGATCAGGCACAGCTGGGACTCGGTGGGCTTGGAGAGCTTTTCCAACCCAGCTGAAGCCGTGACTGTCTAAGGCAGTCCCGGCTGGGTGACTGTCGCCTTCGGCCCCTCGCGAGGATGGAGGAATGACAGTGACATCCCCTCAGCAGCAGCCCCTCCACACAAACAGCGCACACCTCCAGGAAGTTCAGGGCAGCTGTGGAAAGCTTCACCCGGAGCTCCCAGCGGGGCGATGCCCAGCTCCCAGACCCGAGCAGGGCAGCCCGGGACCGGCTCCGCCCTGAGGCGCGGGCAGCACCGGGCTCTGAAGGAGCCTCTCACGGGGGGCTGAGGGGCGACAGCTCCTGCCTCACTCCTCCCGAGGGGACAGCCCGGCGGCCCGCAAAGTACCCAGGGCGCTGTCAACACAGCTTCCCTTCCTCCCGTCCGTTTCCCTTCCCTTCTCTTCCTCCCCCCTCACAGGACGCCGTGCGGCGCCGCCTCACCCCGCTCAGCCGCTCCCCGGCGGGCCCCGCGGCAGCTGTCGGGGCCGTTCGGGCTGTGCCCGCCGCGGCTGAGCTCTAGAGGCGGCGGAGGCAGCGCTAGAGGCGGCGAAGGCCGCGCTGGGGCGGCGGCAGGAGCAGCAGCAGGAGGAGGAGGAAAACCACAACCATGAGGCTGAAGGCGGTGGCGGGCCGGCGGCGCTCAGTGAGAGCGGGCAGGGATCGGGCGGGTAGGGGGAACCGGGCCCTCCGTGCCGGGGCTGAGGGCGGGTGGGCGCCATGCGGAGCCCGGGCGGGTTTGAATTTACAGCCCGGGCCGGTTTGAATTTACACCCCAGCCGGGTTTGAATTTACACCTCGGCTGGGTTTGAATTTACACCCTGGGGCCGGGGAGCCCTGGGAGGCGCAGGCTCCCGGCTCTCCCGTTTTCCCAGCGCGGTGCGGGGCCACACGTGTTCCCGCCGGGCCTCGCTACGCTTGAACCCGCGCTCCTGTCGCTTCTTTCTTCCCCAAACCTACAGATATTTTGTCTTTGAGGATCATTTATTATCCCGTGAGGTCCCTTGGGGAGGCCGAAGTGCGGCGTGGGCCGCGCGGGCTCAGCCGCGCATCTTTCCTCGCAGATTTTGAAACCAAAACGTGTTTGCGCCATGTGCTGCAGCAGGCAGGTTGGACCACCGTGGTCCTTCCGACCTGGCCCGCTCTGGGATTCTGTAAATTGGTTTTGTTGGACCTCAGCTCCCCAAGTGAGCCCTTGGTGCCAGCCCTTTGCTGCTGCAGCCTTACGGTTCAAGTGAACTGACTCTTCTAATGAATTCTTTTTCGCGTGTAAGTGTACTTCAGGCTCTCTGAAGAAGCGTTACTCTGTTTGTGTGTGATCAGTGATTCCTGGTGGGCATTTAAAAAATCCTGACAATCCTGACGTCTTGGTTCGGTAGCAGCCTGCCTTTCTTCATCTTTCAGTGTGAAATCTTACCTCTTTCCTTGTACGTTTACATATTAACTAGCTGATTTTTACATATACTTGTATTATCCTTTTGTCCCTTTTAACCTCTCCACGTGCTCTGAAGATGCAGACTGTCCAACTCTGCTGGATTTTGTCACTGCTGTGCTCTCACTATACATTTTTATAACTGTTTCTACTTTTCCCACAACTAATCAATAGTTGTCAGGGATTTCTTGCCAAACATGCTTTTACTTACTCGTTTTCTTTCTGTCTTGATTTTAATAAAGCACGTAGAAACTATCACCAGGAATCCTGCAACTTTTTAATAGAGCAGTAGGCTCCATGCAAATCTTTCTTAGGTGAGTTGTCATCTTAAAACAGGTCTGTGAGGAGCACAGCAACAATCTCTTCCTAGCAATGCACCTCCTGATAGATTTTAAGACAGCTAGAATATTGTACTCTGGGCTTCTGTTTTTTCAGGTTTTTGAGCCCCTGTCTTGAGGTATTCCTGCTATTTTCTCTTTCTGTCAGGTTTCATAATAACAGATATTTTTACCTAACAGCAATGTTTAAAAGAAAACAAACAGAAGTAGCCCAGGGGAATCTGAAGAACTGTTGTAAGATCCTTCAGCCTGTCTTTAAGTTGTGGTCAGGAATAGCTGGATAGGCAAGACCAGCAAAATCAGAAAACCATGGAATCATGAAATGGTTTGGGTTGGAAGGAACCTTAAAGCCCATCCCATTCCAGCCCCTGCTATGGGCAGGGACACCTTCCACTGTCCCAGGCTGCTTCCTCCACATCCAGAACAACCATCCATTTCTGCATCCTCTGGAAATAACTTCCAACACAAACCAGTTTGTAGGTTCATGTTTTCTCCATGAGGTGCATCCTAGTTTCTGTGTCAGGACAGACAGCCCCTGGTTGCCTTTTGTGCCCTCTCTGCACCTCCTGTCTGTCCCATGCACGCTGAAAAGCCTTGGCCTGCTCTATTGCTTCTCAGTAGCTGCAAAGTGATGCCCGAGCTTTATTTCTTGTTACCCATGGTTGAAACCACTAGTCCCACCTCTCCCTGGAATCTTGCAAGGAGCAGGACAATATTTATAGATTTATGTGGCTTTCTGAATCCTCTCCTAGTGCTTCCTTATATTCCTTGGACGGGGATCAGACCACACGTTCTGGGGATTTCTACCTTTTCCTTCAGTTCTTTTCCCCGGGTTTGACTATTCTCATCATTTTATTGTCCCAACTCTCAGCTTCTTTAAATGCTTGAAATTCTTCACCAGGCCCATCTGTACTGCCCCAGGAAGTAATTCATTTGCAAATGCTGATGGCACCAGCACTTACCCCTCATCACTGCCTCTGCCGATAACAAATTCCTGCCTTGGTCCCTTCTTTCATACTGTTTGATGAATGAACTATACTGTTATCAAACTTTTTTAGCTGATAGTAAATTGTCAGGGGGATTTGGAGCTCCTCCTTGCCTCTTTGCCTTGCTTCACTGCATCCTGCCAGAAAACAATCTGTAAATGTTATTTTCATCTTAAACATCTGATACTGATGTGTGAATAGTCATTTCAGCTGTCCAGGATTACATTTTTGCACAGTGTTTTCCAGGGATAGTTGGAGTGAAAATTCATCTCATACTATTCTCCTACATAATTTTTTCCTCCTTCATGCTTGTAGTTAGCACCAGATTATTGGACACAAACGAACATGTGTGAATACTTCAATTACATCAGTGACACTTATACTGTGTTTTTGTTTGGTTTTAAGATGGTTTGGTGGTCTCTGAAAGCGTGAAAAGCAACAACACTGATGTGAAAATTCCCGAGTCAGAATCGGAAGCTGAAGACAAAGGAGCAGAAGAAGAACGCCCCAGGGAATCTGATAGCAACACTTTGGATGTATCATCTGATTACCCACGAGGTTTGTTAATAAACTCTTAATATTTGTACCATGTGCTGGAGGAGAGGTAGAAATACTAGAGAAGAAATCTAAAGGGAGGGTGTGAAATCTCATTTTAAAACTCACCTTTGTGTCCTGACCACATGGATCTGTTGCTTTGTCTGGCATAAGAAAACCTGAAGATTTATCCTTTAAAAATGTTGTAAAGCTTAAAGGTTCTACAGAATCTATTAGAGTGGACTGGGAAGTTCTGTGTGCTGAAATCAATAAAGCAGATTTCAGCCTAATTTTCTTGGTATTGGCAAATTCTGACTGATAAGTTGAAAAATCAGGTGGTAGATTTAAAGGTTAAATTGTTTACTAAGGGAAAGAAAAAAATGCTAGAATTTAATGTATCCTGGCTCCACAGTGAATAATTGTTCTTAAATTTGGTCCACTTGTAGTAGATAATTAGTTTTGCCAGTGAGTTCATACCACGTTTTTGTGCTGCTTTTGTGCAGGATTTGCATTCACTAACAATGCTGAGCAGTAAAACCAGGTGTAAAGGGAATGTGACTTATCTTTTCAACTGTTTTTTTTTTTCAAATGAGGGTCTTTCTATCTCAGAAAGTTTGTGTGTCAGTATTAAAAGGAAGTAGAAATATATGAAAATATATGGATCTTATTAAACAGCTATTCTGGGGATAATTTTTGCAGTCATCTGTGCTGCCATGGAACTAAAAGGACAAAAACAAGTATTTCAGTTGCTACTGCAGTCATTCTCTAACAATGCTAGATTTGATATGTTGCATAGAAAAGTAGCAGTAAACTAAGAATGTTTAATTTCTAAATATTTCTGGGGTTTTTTTTTTTTAGAAAAACATATTTCAATTCAGAGACACCTTGCTGATCTAGAGAAACTGGCTGACCTGAGAGCAGGTGAGTTGTCCACAGCAGTGTCCCAGAACATTTTACATTTTCCTTTAGATTTTATCTTTAACACACTGCATATATTTATGATATTTAAAGACAAGGGGTTTTGTGAAAAAGGGCTTTATGATTTCTTCTCTTGTTCTTCTGCTAAATTCTGCCTGAGAGGTTGTTTGACATTCAGCTAGTTTTTATTTAGGTTAATACTTCAAGAGCTTCAACACCTTTGTACACAGTCTTGCCTTTGCTTTTTGTGTCTCACATGTAGGATTTTCAAGAATTATTTTATATTTTTTAAATTATTTTATATAAGGTACATTGCCTTATTTTGCAGCTTAAATAGATATCAGCTGCTTGTTTTGTCCGAAACATCCAGGAGTTGGAACAACAAAATCTTGTTTTAACCTCCTGATTTGTTGGAGATTTTGGTTTGATGGGTTTTTTAAAACATTTCAAGTCTTTGCATGTCATCTGTAAAGTTCTGTTGTTCCTCAGTACTTTTCAGAAGTTTCATTGGCCTCGTGTTGCTGAAGTAAAAAATACTAAAAACCAAAACACAAAGGTTGTAGGAGTTAATAATTTTTAAAGTTATAGTGATTTTGGTCTATATTATATGGAGCAGAAAAAGGAAACCCATAAATTTGAAGTTTGTGCATGAAATAGAATGTTCCCTGAGGACTTCATCTTTAACTCAAGTTGATTTTACCTTCAGCCTTTTTTCTCCTGGCCTGCATCTCCGCTAACACAAGTGGTAACTGCATTTCATGTTTCTCATAGTTTTTAATTGTATTTTCAGACCAAAGGAAGCCTTGTCCATTGTGTCCTGAGGAGAAATTCAAAGCTTGCTATAGCCACAAACTCCATCGTCACTTGCAGAATTTGCACTGGAAGGTTTCTGTTGAATTTGAAGGTAATGGCAATTGGGTTTGAATAGTAAATACTAGAAGAAATGTGGATATGTTCTGTTTCATCTTTCATAATTCCTCTTGACTTAAGCATTTTGTTACCAGCTATGAATTAGAACCATATTTTGACAGAATGAATTTTGAGGTGGGATGTAAAGTGTAAATGTGAAAGAATGCTATTCTTCTCCAGCCAAAATGGTTACAATTATGCATTTTCTCTTTAGAAAAACAACAATAATTGCTTGGCATGTCATGAAAATTACCATAAAATTTAAAATACGTGTGTAATGAAAACTACTGCAGTAAAAGTTTTAGTTATATATTAATAATAATCAGACACACACACAGGTGATCAGTTCTAGTGGATCATAAAGATTCCATGGGTTCCAATAAACACTTGAATCTTGATGTAGTATCAATACTTAGTAGCTTTAATTGTTTTATAATAAACTCTGTAATCTGCTTGTGAGATGCAGTAAAATCCCCGCCAGAAGTTGAGGAAGGAAAATCAAGTGAGCAGTGTGTGTTTTTTAAAAATTCAAGTGTGTGGGTTTGTGGCAAATAAAGTGACTATTTAGAGGATGGGCAAGATAAAGTTGAACTATACATTTTCCAGTTGGAGTATCAGGTATCTCATTTTGGTTTTCTTTTACTGTACAACATATGTTTATAGGAGTCTTCACACAAGTCTTTTGGCCAGGTAACAATATTTTTGTGAAAGACTCACAGGTACTTTTGAACTGGAGACTTGGTGTAGCTTTGTAAGATGCTCCAAGTTTTTTTAAATAAAATTTAAATTCTTTGCATTTTAAAGTTTAAAATGTATAATTAGCTGATAAATTTCCCTGTGTGGAGAGTGAATGTACCAGATAATTGGTGATGTTCTCTTGTTGCTGTGTGGTGAAATCTGAAGTGAGAGCATGTGTTGCAGGCCACAGATGTGCTGTTCATTTACTGTTCTGGTGTGGTATTTGTTTTCCAGGGTACAGAATGTGCATCTGCCACTTACCCTGTCGGCCAGTAAAACCCAACCTTGTTGGAGACCAGGTAAAAATGCTGAATCCCAGAAATTCTTGTTACTGTGCAAAGTGCGGGAATTGGGTGACTGAGGGGAACTTTTGAGATCTGCTTAGTTGCCAAATATGTCTTGCTCCTCTGTGTGTGATGCCAAAATCTTGTTGGTCCAGGATGTGTGATAGAACCCTTGGGTAGCTGCATGTGGTTGTACCTCTCAGTGTGGGGGGCAGCTGCCTGGGGCAGCTGTGGCTCTAGATTCCAGAAGTTTTGAGTGCTCTAGAGGTATCAGACAGATGACTTCTCATATGCCTGTGTTCAGATCTACTTCAAGCATGTTTTATGTCTTCTGGAGCTACATAAAAGGCTCTGTTTTACAGACATTGTCAAAGATGGGAGCTCATTACCACTGTATCATCTGCTCAGCAACTATAATACGAAGAACTGACATGATCGGGCACATTAATCGTCATGTGAATAAAGGAGAGACTGAGTCCAGGTTTAGCACAGGTGAGCTCTGACTGACAGGAAGCATTCACTCCTTTTCTGTCATGTACCACCTGCAGTAACTGTGCTAAGGGGTGGGAGACACAGGAGAAATTCAGAAACAGAGATTTAGCCTTTCTAATGAAAAATCTGCCCTTAATATTTCAGAACTTTTGTTTCTTCGGAGTTGTGATTTAGTCTTGCATTGACCAGTTCCTGTGTTCTTACTGAGATAACTAGTACTCCCCTCACCCTTAATGTTGTAAGTACTAGCTTGTGTGTTTCCAAAAGAGTGAGGACATGGCATCCACAGGAAAAAAAAAAAAAAAAAAAAGTCTGTAATAAATCTTTCTGCAGTGAAAAATCCTTAGCTTTTTATCCAGACTGAACCAGGAGGACATGGCATCCACAGGAAAAAAAAAAAAAAAAAAGTCTGGAATAAATCTTTCTGCAATGAAAAATCCGTAGCTTTTTATCCAGACTGAACCATCTTGGGTTCCCAAAACAAGGTGATGTTTTTCCAGTCTCAGAAAGTCATGACAGAGGTGTCAGTAGTTCTTTGGTAAATTGCAATCCTACCTGACTTTGTCCAGAATGAGACTTTGATTTCTAAAATTGCATAAACTAGGTTAAAAGCATTTTAAATAATTGGAATGCCAGTAGTTTGATGCCTGGGCATCAGTGTGCATGTCTGAAAAGCTATAGTAGTACTGCATTCCACATCTTTATAGATTTTGTGCTGTGAAATACATTGATCTCTGTGTGCTTTCTTCAGAGCTCTGAGTAAAGAATGGCCCATTTTGCATTTTTAACAAAATGCATGAGGCAGTTTTTCCTTACAGAGCGAGGAGAAATCCAGAGGTTTTGTGATCTGTAGGCACTGGGCAGCTCTTGGGGCCCTTGAAGGTGGAGCGGATCCACCATGTGTGTTTGAAAGCCCTGAGAGAGGCAGGGTCGTCATATCCAGTTAATACAAATTTTTCCTGGTTTTTCCTAGGTACATTTTACACTGTGGATGAATTGCTCAGAGGAATGGCAGCCTGTGTTTACAGCTGTCAGATCTGAAAGCTTGTTTTGCCACAGGCTGTCTCCACAGAGCTCTGGTGCTGGAATTGTCCATGTGCTTGTGCTGTTCACGCACAGTTTGTGGGGCTGTTCAATAACTTAAATCAAGGATTTTTGCAGTTCATTGAGACACGTTCAGGACTTTGTTAACAGGGTTTTAATTAATGAGCAATGTATTATGTTTAAACATGCAAAACAAATGTGCTAAGTCTCAGGCTCAGGAGCTGGCTTTCTTAAACTGGAGTGGATAGATAGGAGCCCAACTGAGAAACAAATCTGATGTTTTATGAGAAGAAAAGTGTGGTAGAGCATGATCCTTATTTGCCACTTCTGAGATTAGAAGATCAATTGTTGCCTGCTTCTCCCCTCATCCTTGTAAACCTGCCCATGTGCTGGTTGGATTGCAGCAGCAGACTTGCTTTATGGGAGCAGTTTTTTAGTGTGATTTACCAACTGTGTTAATATTAATTTCAGTTCTCACCGATTCTTTCCTTCTGCCTCAATCGCTTGTTTCAGTTCGTGCTCCCAAGTCATCTTACAAAGTGGTGAAGGAGTCAGCCACAGATGTGCAGGTTCTTCCCAACCACTCCACGCCCCAGAAAACAGATTCCTATTTTAATCCTAAAATGAAACTCAACAGGTGAGAGAGCAGGGAGTGGGAGGATGCATCAGAGGGGGGAGTTTGTGGTGAAAAATATGTATTTTGAAAAGTAACCCTGTGAAACTTCTGTTCAGAGGGCAGGAGAAAGGAGTTTCTCATCAGAAAACTCTTTTTGAAAAATGATATTTATTCCCAAGAACACTGTATGTGAAATAGTGTCATTTCTTAAGTAAATAAGTATTTTCCTGTAATTTCTAGATATTACTTTAAGAATACTCTGCTGTAGAATTCAACTTTTCAGCATAGCTGAGGTTTTTATTTACAGTTCTTCCCTGTAAAAAATGGAGTTCAGTTTAAATATTCCACTGTTAGGTTAAAGGAAAATAAATAAGGAAAAGGAAGCAGAAATGTTCTCTCAACTTACAGAGTATGATTTTTATCTTCCAGGCAGTTGATATTCTGTGCGCTGGCCGTGCTTGCTGGGGAGCGCAAACCCATTGAATGTTTGGATGCTTTTGGTGCCACGGGTAAAGTCCATTTCTTTAATATTTTGGTTAATATCCAATGGAAGGAAGCAGCAGAAATTCATAACTGACATCACATACTCAAAAATAATGTGAGATATGTAATAATTCTCTTCCTTAGGCAGGGACTCCTGAGCTTCCATACAAAAAGACAGCTGTCAAAAGCTGTATTAAGGCTTTTAAAAAGGCTGAAAATGATATTAAAGTTCAGCGTTCTTCTTAAAATCAGTTGTCTTACTGTCCTTAAATTCTGTTTTTCCACAGGAATCATGGGATTGCAGTGGGCGAAGCACCTCAGAAGTTCTGTGAAAGTTACAATTAACGATTGTAATGAAAATTCTGTGACAATGATTAAGGAAAATTGTCATTTAAACAAAATGAAGGTGAAACTGAACATTAGGGAAGAAGACAGTGATGAAACTGTGGGAAATGGAGAAGAAAACAGTGACACCATTGAGGTGACAAAAATGGATGCCAATGTTGTCATGCATTTGAGATCATTTGATTTTATGTAAGTGTTGAGTACTTCTGTCAGTTTTCTGGTTTCTAATGACACACCCCACTCCACTTCCCAGTATATGGTTATTTGGAGAAATTGCAGTGATAAAAGAATGAACTAGCAGTCACTTGAAATGTAATTTTCTTGTCCCTGAAATAGTATGGGGACAGAACTTTAATGTTAAATGTTTTAGAAATTGCTGGAAAAAATATTAGTCTTTCTGGCATTCAGAATGGGTTACAAATATACATGAAAATTTTAACTCGGGCTGGGGTTTTTTTATAACTTCATTGTCTGTTTGCTGAGGGAAATACCAAATCAGTTTTGGGTCTTTTAAAAACTCGTTTTGGTTTAAAATGGTGGTCGTTGCATCTCTTGTTTTTATCTATTTTGCAGCATATTAACTTTGAATTAAAGCAGGCTGATTCTTCCAGGTTGGGTATACAGATGCATGCATTCAAACCCTATACAGGATGGTGGGATTTTTTTTGAGTTATTAATGACTAACATTCAGATCTAAGCATTGCTGGAAGTTTTAGTCCTGTTCCTTCTTTCTGTTTTAAATGTGATCATAGGTGTATAAAGCAGTGTTTTCCTCAGTAAAGCCAGGCTTTGGAACATTTATAGACACTCAGTGGTACGTCCTTTTTTTCAGCCATTTGGACCCCTTTGGAACTTCTGTGAATTACCTGGACTCTGCCTTTAGAAACGTGAGAAACCTTGGGATTGTGTCACTGACATCCACAGACATCAGCTCCCTCTATGCCAAGGCTCAGCACGTGGCCCTGCGTCACTACGGCTGCAATATTGTCAGAACAGAGTACTACAAGGAGCTGGCAGCCAGGGTTGTAATTGCTGCTGTCACAAGGTACTGCTGAACCATTTCCAATTAGGGTAAAAAATTATTAGGTAATTATTAGAAATAATTAGTAACTGAGCAAGGTGAAAATGCATCAGTGGGGGGTGGGGGGGTGGATGGTAATGTGAAAAAAAAATGCCCTGACTTGCAAACTCTTCTATTTCTCTGTCAATTTTGCCATTTTAGAGCTCCATAGGACTTCCTAGATACAAGGAAGTATTGCTTCCTTGAATGGCTTCTATCTAAGCCTTTCAGTTAGACTTGCTTCAGTGGAACCTGATGTTCACTGCACATCCTCATACTTGAGGTTAAAAAGATGGATGTGGTTACTGACTTGTGAAATCAGTTATTTGCATATAGATACTCTAACTAAACTCAGCCTGTTAAAGAAATGCAGACCTAAAATCTAGTTGGGAAAAAAAGGTACAGGCAGGAAGAGGGGACAACTGCTTGGGAAAGATGAGGAGGAAATGAAATCACCAGTGGTTTTGAGAATGCTGGAGCACAAATGCTGAGCTGAACGTGTTTAGATTTCCCTTGTCCTCTCTCTGCTCATGTGATGATGCAGGTGGCAGACCACTATTTCTAGCTGTGATAAAAAGAAGTAAAATTAGATTTGCTTGGCCTGCCAGGAAGGCCACAAAAGGAGGCACTTCAGAAAGAACACTTCCTCCTGATCTCTCAAATCTTCAGTACCCCTTTCTAGGAAGTGGGCAAGCTCAAGAACTGTGCAGCAGGTTCAGGTGTCAATGGCAGTGTTTACCTGCTGAATTCAGTTCAATTTGGTTTCTGTGTGTGTTTCTCCCCCCAGAGCTGCAGCTCGCTGTAACAAAGGCATTGAAGTGCTGCTGGCAGTAGCTCTGGAACACTTTGTTCTGGTGGTGGTCAGAGTTTTACGGGGCCCAACCCCTGCAGATGACTCTGCAAAGAAGGTCCGGTACCTCATCCACTGCCAGTGGTGTGAAGAGAGGGTTTTCCAGAAAGAGGGCAATATGGTGGAAGGTAAATGGCTCTTCTTTTGCAGTTTGTCTCTCTGTTCTGTGCCTTGTTTATATTTACATCCCATCAGTAGCAATTCCCTTGTATGTAACGAGTGGTATGTGTGAGGTGGAGAGGGCGCTGTGCTTCATGGCTATGGGCTGGATTGGTTGTCTGCATGGAATTTCCTGTAAATGGACTGGATTTGTGGCACACACTGCTCAGGTTGTGGCTGCCCCATCCCTGACAGTGTCCAAGGCCAGGTTGGACAGGGCTTGGCGCAGCCTGGGCTAGTGGAAGGTGTCCCTACCCATGGCAGGGGGTGGCACTGGGAGGGTTTTAAGGTCCCTTCCAACTCAAACCATTCTGAGATCTGTTGCTACACAGGATTTCTCTAGTCCTGTGTAGAAACAGCCTGCTGGAGCTGCCAGGATGCCTGGTGTGTCCATGAATCTGCCACTAGGAATAGCCTTTGATACTGTTGGGTTCCTTCAGATGGCAGCAGCTGGATAGCTTTTGGTGTCAGATTGCTTTTCTGCTGCATTTCAGTTCCTTAAATTGCAGTGGACTGAGCAGTCTGGTTTTCCCCTGGTGTTGTTAATGGGCTGTCCCCACACACACGTTAGCAAAGACAGGAGACTTTGACAGAGAGACAAGAAAACTTGCACTCGTGGAGATGCTGGTTTGAATTAATATAAACTCTTAAACCTTGTTTCCAAATTAGAGGCTCTTAGATAGCTTGGTGTCAACTCATGGTGTCTTTGCCCTGCTCAAGAGAGATGCATAAGCATGCAATGAGCCTGGTATTAAAAAGTTGTTAAAAATCAGATAACAGTTTTAAGGATGGGGATGAGTAGCTGAATACAGTGTTATTGTAGAGATCTTAATTTGTAAGTGAACTGTTTGCTTAATGCCTTAATTGCACTGGGCTTACAAGACTCATAGGTGGACTGTGTTTTTCAGATGTAACTGGCTGATGTTTCAGATTTTGTAGCTGGCACTTAGTGTTAACCTGGACAGCTGTTTATGTAACAGTAGGAAGGCAGATATTTTCCTTGTTTCTTGAAAGAAACATAGGGAAGTTATGTTGGGGTTTTTTTCCTTCAGTGTTTTAACACTGATTACAGATCAAGTCATCAATCAGAAAATCTCACCATGAGCTGCTTGGCAGAAGTAAATACAGTGTCACACTTCTGCTGTTGCCCTTCCAAATACCTCACTGAAGTGAGCTCCCACTGCATCTCTCTGTCTCTGCATGACTAACACAGTAACACAGGCATGGCTGGCTATTGCCAAGCAATCTAAATGCTGTTTTTCTGCTGCAGAAAACCCTTACCAGCAGCTGCCCTGTGACTGCCACGGCAGCATGCCTGGGAAGACAGCAGTGCTTCTTGGTCCTCTCTGGTAAGTTCACATCACAGGACACATCTGGAGAGTCACTCTGGGTCCAGGAGCTCTGAGGCTCAGCTGTTCATACCATAATATTTTTTTATTTTAGCACTACAAAAGGAGGTACAGAAATCAGGAGGAGCTCAGGAAACCAAGTGTGGATTTCAATTTAGTGGGGTATTCAGTTTTTCTTTTTGTTCAGACTGGTTAATAAATAGTAACACATTTTAAATTCCACATTCAGTGCACTTATGGAATATGTCCTGCACAGGAGAACCTGCCTCTGTGTTCCTCTGTTTGCCAAAAGTAACTCCTGTTACTCTATACTTATAGAGAATTTATTAAATAAATCATTACATGTGCTGATGTTAATAAATACTACATTGCTTGTTAATTAATATTTGTAGCAACAAGAATAAATATTTTAGTCTTTAGGCCATTTCAAATCAGTATTAATTATTGGTGATCAATAGCACCTTTCTTGTGGGGGCTGAATGATTTTCTCTACATTCTCTACATCTTAGGGCTGAAATAAAATGACTGGTTTTGAGATCTTGATTTTTTTTTTTTTTTTTTTAAAAACAAGACCAGTGTTGTTGTCATTGCAAAAAATCAATTCAGTGTAACATAATTGCTGATCAATTTGGGCAAGGGAATTTTGGAGCAGCTTGCATTAAGAAGCCTTAACTTTTGATTTCTCTTGTGTTTCATAGGTCAGGACCTCTCTTTAACACTGGATTCCTCAGGAGGATGCTCCTGGAGGCTGTGCAGTATGGCTTGGATGAAGCTCAGCCACTTCTGAAGACATTAGTTTGTGAAGCAGAGTGCACAACTCCCAAACATTTTTCTACCCACAGTCTTGGTGACGAGAACAAACAAGGTAAGAAAAGGGGCAGCCTGTTCACAGAGAGGACTGGCTTTGTGGTGATATTTAGAGATGCTGATCTGTGATAAGTTGTTTAACAGCAGGATATCCATGGAGCTGAATGCATTATTGAATAATTGGATTATTTCACTCTCTGTAATTAAAGCATTTTGCCACTTTACAATACAACTAATTTTGCCTTCTAATTGTATTCTAGAAGAGTGTGGCGTATATATTAGAACACCAAATACTTCTGCAGAATCCTACTTAGTACACGGTAAGTGGAACATTTTGGTGTAGCTTTTTTTATATTTAACAGTATTGCACTCTGGAGTTTTTTCCCACCCAGTACTGATTTGATTTTATCTTTATCCAGAATCATTTATTGGTAAAAGCAAAATGCCAAATACTCTATGAAGGCCACTTTAATTTACTTGTTACTACAGAAAATGGCGTGTTGATTAAATTCAGGCCAGATTTTACCTCTGCAAACACTGGCTTACAAAAGCAGGCACACAGCTGAAGTTGCTGCGTGGCTTTGTTTTTGTGTGTACTGCCTGAGGCTTTGCTGGCGTTTTTGGGGTGCCTGTGAGTGCTGAGTGGTTCCTGGCCTTGTTGTGCTGCAGGCAAGAGGAAGAGCGAGGAGGTGCTGCGCGGCACGGCGAAGCGGCAGCGGGCCGAGCACAGCACCGAGCACCCCCCGTTCTACTACAACATCCACCGGCACAGCATCAAGGGCATGAACATGCCAAAGTAAGTGTGGGTTCACCTTCCAGCCTGCCCTCACTCTGACACACAGCTTGTTCTGAGTCAGCCCTGTCAGCACCACGTCCGTTCTAATGCGGGGCTTTGGTTTTGCTGCCCTTCTTCCCAGGTTAAATAAGTTCCTGAACTATCTGTTGGAGGCCGGATACCGCGTGAGCCGAACCCACTTTGACCCCATGGGAGTCCGCACCAACGCGCCCCTGGTGCAGTTCAAGACTGTTCTCATGAAGTACAGCACTCCCACCTACGTGGGGGCACAGGCAGAGGGCACTGTGCATCTCCCTGGAGAGATCCAGGTGGGAGAAGAGGTTCCAGCTGCTGCAGTGTTGAAGGCGGAGGAGGCTGAGTTAGCAGAAGATGATAAGTCTGGGGTTGCCACCGCTGTGGTCACAGAGTCCTAAGCCACTCACTGTGCTGCTGAATAATGCAGATTGGTTTGTTCATCAGGATGTTACAGACTTCCAGCACACCCTGTTCCAGTAAGCCACTCCTTCCTCCCAAGCTGGAGTTTGACTGTTTTGAGCTGCCTGTTGTACTTCAAAAGGACAGTTTAGACTTAGGTAACAGAACTTAACCCTGATCCCGGCATGGCTGTGGTCACAGAACCAGCACTGTGGGGAAGGCTGTGGAGTTAACTGCTTTTATGCTCACCTCCTTTTCACACTGAGACATGGAGGCTGCTTCCTAGTCTGTCCAGGCCTTACTGCCAGCACAGCATCCAGGAGGGGGGCCAGGGCCAACAGTATTCAGCATTTTGGAATATGACATTATTGTGAAACAGCCTGTTCCTGAAATGCATCATTCCTAAACCTGGCCAGCTGTGATCCAGAGAGAGGGCATGCTTAAGGTAAGAAAATAGCACAGGATAAAATGCCCTCTGAGTTAAAGCCAGGCAGTCCTGCCTGAGTGCAGCTGTAGCTCCATGTTGCACACGTAACTCTGCATTCAGGTGTGTTTCCAGGGTTCTGCCTCATGGCAGGAGCTGATCCCAGGAGAACAGGTAGGGGCGGTGACACGGCTGCTAGCGAACTTCAGTTTGTACCCAAATCGTAGTGAATTGTGTAGTCACTCTAGGTAGTTGTCTGCTCAGAGCTTAGTGGTTGTGTGCTGCAGAAAGGTACAGGGATACGGGACCACAGTGGATGTTCAGGTGAAGTTTGTGGTGAGTTGTCAATAGTAACTCTGAGCTAAGACCTCTTCTGTGAAGGAGCAAAGCTGCCAGGTGTTGGCAGTTGTGGTTTCCTTAAATACATGGCAGCATTCCAGCCAAACCAGCTTGCCTTTGTCCTTTCTTTCCCCCACACTTAGTTCTGGTATCTCTGTGTATTCCACTTGAATAGCTGTCAGCAGTGGTTGCTCTCAAGTTTGGTGTTCAGCCTGGCCCCCAGTGTTAGGTTTATCGAAGACCAGAATATGAGGGGTTATTATCCTTACCCATCTCTGAAACTTTATAATAAAAGTAACAGGACTAATGCACTCCTGATGATGCAAAGCATCCTATGCTCCTGTCAGGCCAGAAGTTGCTGCTGCCTCTTCCACTCTCTTCAATTCCAGATTGCTTTGGTGGAGAATTACTCTCTTCTCTAATTTCAAAAAGGAAGAACCCACTGAAGGGTTCTTGAATCAGTGATACAGCAACATTTCCTTCAAAAATGTTGTGCTTACAGTTCTTTTCCAAAAATCACCTGGGAGCACATTGGAAAGCTAAGTGGAAGGAGACAATTTCATGTTCCCTAGTGGCATTTTTGGGTTTTTAAGCGGATAGACTGCTGGCAGACATTGCTTGCAGGTAACACACTTCAGTGTTAGTAAGATAAAAGCAGTCCTAAAGTCAGTTACCTGGGCAAAGGATTGTTCTGATTACAGTAAAGTAGGTTAAAAAGAAAGTTTAACTGAAGCCCCTTGTGGGAAATACTTTTGCTTACTCTTGCAGCTCCTTTTAAGGAGCCAAAGGTATTGAATACCTTCTCCAAGCCAATGCAACTATTCCCAGGTGTGGAAGGGCAGTAAAAGTGAAACTCAGACTTGTCTGTACAGTCTGCTCTTTTCCTCTGCCAGACAGGCAGAAGCTGTTGTAATCTGTCAGGGACCAGCTGAAGGGTGTTTGTAACTCAGGCCTCTGGGAATTCTTTTCCTATTCAGCAGGTGTCTCTGCTGTTGACCAGGTAGGGTCAGTCCTGCCATAATCGCCTGGCAGAACATTACTGTAGGTTTGAGTCTGGAGCTTGGCACATCTTATTCCTCCTTGCATGGATCCACATGGCGAGGAAGCTTTCTGGGAGTTGAAGCTGTTCAGAGGCAATTTGGGTAACCAGTGGTGGTCCAGAGAGCAGCAGGATTTCTTCAGTCAGACACTGTTCATTTTCAGTGCATCTCAAGAAACTCTACACTGGGCATACTCAAGCACTGCCTCTTAACTCAAGGTGCATCCTCTTCTTAAAAGTTGTGGTGAATGTAGAGAGAAAACAAGGAAAGGAACAAAATTTGATCTCTCTAAATAATGCACCTCAGCTGAAGGGGTTCATTACAGTTGCTCTCTGCTGCTATTGACTGAAGCTGCCTAATAGCTAAATGCACCCAGAGTTGCTGGGCTTAACCTGAGTGCTGTGAAAATCCTTCCCTTCCTCAGGCTGCAGGATCTGGTTGGAACAGCAGTATCTGGGACAGGTCAGTGGAAGAGCTGGTACCTTCTGTGTGCCCCTGTTTCTCACTCAGGGCTCAGGAGCTGAGCTGCTCTCAGGGGACTGAACAGCCACCACTGGTGGAGCTGAGCTGCACCTGCACAGAGCCAGGGTGGCAGCACAAACACTGCCCAAAGGGGGTCCTTTACCAACCACAAGAGGAAGCAGCACTGCAATTCCCAACAGCTTGTTGATAACATTTTTGCTTTTATTGTCAATTTGAGCATTTCAGTGGGACTTTAGTTGGATAGGAGATAGTTTAGTTGGATATTAGGCTTACCCGTACGTAACACACATTATGTACTTACAAAAGAACATGGCTTTAAAAGGGGGAAGAATAATGGCATTTTGAAAATAAAATAGCTTATAGCACTAAAGAGTCACAGTGCAATCAATGGTTTAATCAAACAACTACATTATATATATAATATTTAAAGAACATAAATATTCAGGAAATTCACTACAACATGAAAATAAAAGCTTCACATTCTCTCACGCTTTTCAAAAGAACTGGAGACAAAGTGACAGCTCCTAGACAGACTGCTCAGCTTCACAACTTCTCTTGCTTAAGGGTCTGTCTCTCCCCTCAGCTCCCCCCAGGAGGGATGCTGGCACTAATCTAGAAGTTTTCCCCAGTTACTTTAAAGCATTTAGCACAGCCACTCCCCCACCCCCCCGTTATATTCCGTGGACATGCACTACAGTCTATACAGCAACGCTTCACAAAGTCAGCAAAAACAGGTCCCTAATAGCTGCCCCTCTGTGCTCTGGGGCCTGAACTCTTCCATTTCATGTCACAAAAGCCCAAGGCTCTCCAGTCAGAGGAAATAATTAAGTTACTCAAAGAAGCCTGTGCAGTTTCCACAGCGGGATAAAGCTGATCTGAACAGCAGCCAGAAGGGATGCTATTTACAAGTGCTAGGAAAGCCCAGAGCCAGGGAAGGGCAAGTCCTTCCCAGGAGAATCCCCGAGCAGAATACATGTATCACATGCCAAAGCCGGTGGGAGTCCAGGACACAGGAGGAGTGTAAACCACAGCATGTGGAGTAAAGCCTGGTGCTTCCCACCTACCACCAACTCTTTTTGCTTTGAGCCTCAGGGGCAAACGGGAGGGTTCATCAGCAAGTCTTAGAGGAAAGGGAACCTCATGGTGACAGCTTGCCTTCAGACAGGACATAGGACAGGTCAAGCTGCCCCTCAGAGCCACAGCAAGGTCCAGAACCAGGGCTGTACATGCAAATGACCAGCAGTTGCTGGGCCTTACAGCACAGCCCACTGCCACGCTGAGAAACTTGAGCCTAAATGTAAGACACTAAATGGTAAACTTTGTCAAGTACTGAAGTTGTCTTCCAAAGTGCTAAGCCATGTTTGTTAAAGCTATGGCAAAGTAACAAAAGTAGAATCTTGGAGCAGCTTACAACTGAAGTCTTCCCTACTCACACTGACACTGGGAAAAGGTCCGTGCTGGGGTGGCACAATCCCCCAAATCAAAGCATTTTGATGGCTGTGTGCTGGAATTTAGGGGATTTGCTTTAACAAAAAAGTTTTCTGGACAGTTCTTCACAGCACATTCAAAACAGATCCTACTCTAGGGAACAGAGCAGGGCTGTGAAACATCCAGATTTCTTCAGTTCAGCTGTGAGGACAGGGCAGCATTGCAGGAGGGGCCAGGCAGGAATCAAGTCCTGCATGGGGAAGAGTTAGGGGTTTGGGGTGTTAGGGTGTTTTTTTGACTGAAATAGCCATCAAAAACAAAACCAAAATCAATCTGATGAACCACTTTGCACTGAAGTATTCAGTTAAGCCCAATAAACAGCAAGGTTTTAAAGTGTCAGTTTTCACACTGGAGCTCTCTTTGGAATCCCAGAATCCCAGGATGGTTGGACTTGGAAGGAACCTTAAACACCATCTCAGTCCAAGCCCCTGCCATGGGCAGCAATACCTCTCACAAGATGCAAAATTCACTTTTTGTTCACAAGAAAATATCTTAATGAACCTTTCCTAGGGGATCAGATTACCTCTAGCTGTAAGACTAGCCCAAATCCATTCTCTACCAATCAATTCTTCAGATGGATAACAGTCACCAAATTCCAACATTTAACACATTCCTTGGCATATGCTACTATTGAACAGATTTCCTTGGCCACCCAACACTCCACACTTCACAGAGGCTACTATAACTGTGTCTGATGGAGCAGAAATCCAGATTTACCTGGACAAAACGAAGCCATTCCAAACCGGAACACTGGATCAGATATCATGCATTAGGAACAAGAAAGCATCTCAAACACTGGAATGCACTGGAGGTCATTTAGTCTCCTAGGGAAAAACCAAAAAACCCAACCCAAAGACTAAATTAAATACAGCCCAGAATACTGTCTAGTCATATTACTGAGTATAGTGAGAGTGCCTGAAGGCACCACGTGTGTTGTCCATGAACATACTGGTGGTGCCTTATTTTAATATTAAAGAAGTCATAGCTATAAAAAGAGTTAGTTCCATGCTAGTTTCCCAGCACTTATTTGTGCTCCTTGGTGGGAGCATAGTACAGTTCCATGGGTTTGTTCACTTTCCAGTACTTCTCACTGACCAGTTCCAGGGAAAAGGACCCATTTAGCACCTAGAAGAGAAGAGCAAAGTGAAAACAAATGAGGTAATCTGGTGCCATGCAGTTAAACAGGCTACTTAATTCAATGCTTAAATGTGTTGGCTTGAAGGAGTCACCAATAATGTGGCACAAGTTACAAGCTAAAAAACACAAAGATTCTCAAGTAATATTTTTCCCCTCTTCAATTTTAATTGGAGAAGAATGGCGTAAGTCAGGTCATGGCTGCTGCCATCGCTGCATTTTCCCCAATTAATTTTTATGCCTCCTTTTCTACCAAGTTTTCCCAAAAAGCAACTGCTGTGCTGCTAAATAAGCTGGTGGCACAAATTTTCCCGTGAGCCCAGCTGAGTGGGCTTTGAGCAGGGGTGCATGCCGGGCTGTGGGCGAGCGGGCAGCGCGGTGCTTACGGTGAACTGGCCGGCGGCGGTGGCGATGTAGATGGTGTACTGCTTCTCACTGGCCGTGTCCAGGTTCATCTGGTTGGACTCGCCTTTGCTCCGCAGCTCCTCCAAGGCCAGCCTCACCGCCAGGTACTTGGACAGGTGATCGACCGTGGCATTGCCCGAGGTCTTGATGTACCTGTGACAGCAGCCAAGGAAGAGCAAGAATTCCCACAGATCGTCAGTAATCACTGAGCAGCAGCTGTGGGAAAAGCCATCTGCAACGCCCCAAATATTAAAGGTCAGCTGTAAAAAAGCTTTAGAGACAGCTTCCAGCTGAAGCTTCACACAGATTTACACACACCACAGAGAGATGTCTCATCAGTGGAGAAAGCCAAGAAAAGACCTGAGGAAACACCATAAAACTACTCAGTGCTGTGAGCCAAACTGCAATCTGTGCTTGGTCTAGATTATGAACAAAAAAAGTCAGGAAAAGCTGCCAGCCTGCAAATCTTGCTAAGACAAAGCTGCTCTGGAAACTGCTGACACTTACACAAGGTTTGTTTATTCCCAAAGAATCTTAAAGTACAAAGAGGCTGATA